GTTCGTCTTCTGCATCGGCGAAATTTAACTCCCTCAATAGTTCAAGAACTATCCTGCTAATTCCTTCAGTAGAGCAGTTAGATGTCGCCAAAAGGAGTTAGATGTCACCACTTTGGGACACTAGGGACTGCCCCACCTCCACCCAGCAGGCACTGAGAAATAGTGCAACATAGTGTGTTCAGCTCCAGAAAACTCAGCTCATTTGACTGCTTCCCATAGCTGCAGGAATTTACAAGGTGACAATAGGAAAAGAAGCACAAAGTAGAGTTACTGTTCTCATGCAGAGATCTTTTGTATCAGGTTTCAGCCTAAAATGACTCTTTGCATTCAAGTTATAATAGACAATGATGCATACATATGATGCATGCATGATAAGAATCATAGATATTTACAATGGGAAATACTAATAAAATATGGACCTCAATTCCATGATCAGCTATGTTCTGCTGCAGGATCCAAACAGATTACTGGTATTACATTGAGAAACACAAAGAAAATAAAAGTGCAGCAGTTGTTAGCATAAAATTAAAGCACCTGAATGCATAATTAACTGAAAATATTAAGGGATTCATTGTTAAGAGTCCAAAGAATTCCTTAAATTAATGTGTTTTAGGCAAATTTTTCTGCCACTCTGTAGAGTTCTCTTCACTGCGGGTTAATACTTTGAAGTTAGACAACAAGAACTAATATAAAAGCTAATACATGAAAAAGCACAGAACAATAGCTCCAAAATGCTATTAGCATATTTACATTTCAAGTTCCATTTATGTCTATAATTAAGAATATAAACAAGCATAACTCTTGCATAAGATAACATAAAATTAAGTATACACACAAAATATAAAACCAGAACAGAGTGCTGCCAGTGCTGCATGTGTTTTGTACAAAAAGACAGGATGATAATGCTTAATACTACTAAAAGATATATGAAACTTGATTCCAGCAATTGTACTATTTCATAATACAAGCAATTTCAGTCTCAAACTCTGGCAGAAACACAGTGTGTGCAACATTTCATCATCTTATTTCAAATGTACTATAACATGATTATGTTTGCATTTTCACAGATCAAGCTGAAAAAATCAAGGGACACTAGGTTTTAAATAATCCATATGCAGAGTTTATTAAACTATTTTTAAAAGAAGCAACATAAACAAAATATTTTTCCACTATCAAGTTTCTTTAGGCTCATTACAGCACTTCTGCATACAATTTATACTAATCTCAGTGGGTTTTGTGGGCCATTCACAACAGAAATAAAAGACAAATGATCTTATTATAGGAAAATGAGATAGAAATACAAAACCACAAAAATCAGCCTTATTCACAAAACAATCAAATCTACTTTCAGTTCTTTTCAATTGATTATGTCAAGGATTTTCATATATGAGTTCTTACAGTGTCCTGTTCTCCCTGTAACATCAAATAACAAAGGGGAGGACAGGAATTCATGAGACTGAATAAGTAAGAAAACCAGGTGATTCCCAATACTGATGATGTCCCCATCAAAGGTACTTCCCTCCTCTTAACCCATTGTTTGTTTTGTCACACTTAATAAGCCAAGGTATTCAAAAAGCCCTATCAAATCTCAGTTTTGTCCTAAAAAACTTGATCCTTCAAGTTGTCAGTCCTATTGCAACATCTGTCACTTTAGCCTGATTTTCGAAGGAAACTATGGTTACACATCTGTGCTGCCCATATGGATCACACACATTTATACTACAGAAGTCTCCTAGAACTTTTGATTTTAACTCATTTCAATTAAAATGTGACATTAACAACCTGAAAGAAACCAAGTACCTACAACTTTGATGAAAAAGGTAACAGGTGAGAAAAGTGCTGTTCATACTTTAAAGATTTATGCAATCAATAATCAGTTTATGCACGATGAGTACCAGGCACTGGGGAACCCACCTGGGAGGACACCGTCAGAATGTATCTTCTCCAGGCAAGGCTTCATGTGTGCTAGGGTTTGGAAACAATAAAGGCCACAGGAAAAAAGGCTTTGCTAACCATGCTGTTTGAAGAACTGTTTATAACACACTGTCCACAAGAAAGCTAGCTTCTTATTTGTTACATCATTTTTAATTTGTGGATTTCTTCTTCCTTGCAATTGAATTGTCAGATTCTGATAGCTACACACACTTCACTAACTTTTTAGACACTGATCTGCATTCTTGAACAATTCTCAGGAGTTTTGACTTTTCCCTGCATTTTGTTCTTGTGTGTCTGCTTCACTTCCCCAGGAGGGCAGAACACACACCACAGTACGCATTTTGAAGACTTTTGTGCCCCAAGGGCTCACAGGCTTGCCCATCTCTTTTCACAATAAATGCAAACAAACCATCAATTAACAGACAGCTGCAACATCCTTCCAAAAGAACAGCCTTTAAAAATATTGTTTACTTGTCTGAACAGAAGATATCCTCCTAACCCTTCAAAGTAAGTGAATGATTGATGGGTAGGCAAAAGCATTTGCTTTAACAGAATCAGACTGACATCAGTTTTCATGTTCTCTGCTGTCTGAACAGTATCAAGCTGATCAGATTTGTAATTCTCCTGAAGCACATCAAACCAAGCAAAAAAAGGGCAGTCCTTTCCTACACTGAACTTGCGGATTTGTCCAGTGCAAGTTAGTGAGCAACGAATTCAACTATGATAAAAATCCATTGTATAAACTGCATTTTACAACTGAAACACAGAAATCATCTAGCTTCTTACAACAACTTCAGCAAGATGAGCACAGATCAGAAGGGACCTGCAATTTACCCAACTGTCATTTGCTCTTTTTAGCTGGCATCAGGCAACAATACTCAAGAAAATACATGAGTTTATACACAAGAGCACCTGGCAACCACTGACATTACAAATGGCTTTTCTTGTGCAGCTAATTACAGTGGCTTTTCTAGCAGGCAGGAAAAATTTAGAGTCTACATCTAATTCTGTAAGAAAGTTGACCACAGCAACTTATGCTTCAATTGTTTTTGAAGTCACATGCAACTTGGGATCACATCAGTAGGTATGCTATTCGACCCAATTCCCAAAATCCACAGAAACCTTAATACAACTGATTTATGAGCATGTTGGGTGAGGCCTCAGGTAGATTTTAATGGAAACTATTATGATACAGGTTGTGCTGAAGTACTTTACTGTTCTCATTCCAAAAAACTGGAGAGTTTTAAAGTAAAGATCTGGCTGAGGACATGAAAACCATCTGGCAAAATCTTACGACATTTAGATTTGCAGAGACATAATGATTATGTGAGTTTCTATGTACATGCATAGGCCTGTTCTTGAGTTTGATACTTGTCAGATCTATTGCACAGTATAAGGAGAGAGCCTCTGTATCTTTTCAAGACTTTATACTCCACTGACACACAATTTTTCAACACAGATAATTTACCTGGGAACAGCTAAATTCTAGAAACTTTAATATAAAATACATGTTATTTAAATATTTTAAAGACACTTCTGTTTTATTCTTCTTTATAAAAGTAAGAATTCATCTCCACATGCACTTAAATGATAGAAAATTAGATTTCCTATCTCTCAGGAAGTCATTTCAAAATAACATAGAACAGATTTGTGAAACCTGTTTAACCCAGTCTGTTTTCTACTGTGCCTGAAGTACTATATGGGCTAAGCATGAAAGACTCATTAAGAAGAGCTTTTGCTACTAACTCATTAAGCATCAAAGCATAAAATAACATGCAACATACATATTTGAGATGCTATTAGGAAAATTATCAACTCTTAAAACTTCAGAAACTCTCAAATAGTCTACAACCCTTTATGCATCTGGTATCTCAAATAATAAAACCTAAAAATCTTACTAGTTTGATTTAGTTGGGTTTTTGAGAATGTATAAAGAAAGAGGTATGATCTCATGGTCTGAATATGAAATTGGAAATCAAAATGTCTTACATAATGATTTGCCAAACCATACTACGGGAACTAACCAAATTGTACTGGTCTCCCCCAGTACAATGGAGACAAACTAATTTACACTGAATTGATCAAATCTGTTAAGTTAACAAAGAATACACAAAATATTTGGCTTCTGGGAGTGAGTTTTAGAGAGCAGTAAAGCACATGTTTAGCTACATGCTAAAAACAATTGAAATGACATTGCTAGTTACTTAGAAACTCATGACAGCAAAATTTTTATTACTGGACAATTTATCTAGTCCTGCTAGAGAATGGTTATCAGATAAAACAGAAACCAAAGGACATTAATAATTTTAAGAACTAAGTATCCAATTCTCCCTAGGCAAACCTGCACAATTTATAAAATGATGTATGTAATTTATAACATTATACTGATGCAAAGCACAAACTATTGATTTTTAAAAAATGCATAACCTGCCAAGGCCACTGACTGATCCAGGAAAAAAAAGCTAAAGGTAGGGAAGTTTTCATAGGGAGTTATAACTTACCAGCTTCTCAAATGACAGGGGACTTGATAGAAGTCTTGAGAGACAGAAAACTGAAGTCTGCATATATACTGCTCTGACAGTTTAATTGAATCAAGATATCTAAAGATGCACAGACAGCAAAACCAGATAAAGTGCAAAAAGGAATCTGTAAACTATCAAAGAAAGTATTACAATTGGCTTTACCTCAGTTTTTTAATCAATTTAAATTCTCCACTTGGGTGTTTTTATACATTTTAGAATAAAAACTAATATTCAGAAAGACACTTCCAAGTTTTTCAGGCCCCAAGTGACGTGAGCTTTTTCTTTAAATCAACAGTCTAGCATTTATAGTCAATTAAATGGAGAATGAGAAGTTAGCAGATGAACTCCTAAGAGATATTAAGTATATGCTGTCCCCATATATTCAAATCTCTGTTTGCTATGTTTTTTTATAGAAATATCTTCATATAAGCTTCCAAAGCAAAATTAACCATGCTTTCTAGGAGGCCACACTGAAAAACAGGGACTGCAAACCAGAGTCTGACTAGAAGACTAGTTTTTTAACCTGATTTCTTCCCAATCTCTCATGCTTGTCATGCAATTATCACAATTAACTTCACATTGCTTGGAAAAAGTTATTAATACATAGATATCAAAAATTATTCATTCTTAATGTATGAACTGCCTTCTTCTTGCAAGAGGATGACTACTTCTGGCATTTTTGGCAGAAAAGCTTTAATGTTGTTTCTCACATTAGTCCTTTTATCTTCCATCAGCATCTGCAGTCAAAGGTCCAGTGTTTTCTTTTAATTTTATTTTAAGAGAGGAGGCACAAACTCAGAGAAAAGGGTTGTAAGTCCTGCATTTTCAAATTCCTTTTGTAGCTCCTCCAGTATTGAGTATTCTTTGACTTCAAATGTCTGAAACCTGCATTGTAAGAGGGAAACTCATGAATATGCTGAGATTTGTCAGAATGTAATTATTGATTCTGTTACTTTTCTATCCACAACAGCACTAAATTATACCTTTTATGCTGCGACTGTACTTCTGCCTCACACAGTACACTCATCATTTTCTCTTTGCATTTCTTTCCGCTTGAGTCCACATCTACCTTAGAAGTTTTCTGAAGAATCAAGTACTCCTAAATTACAAGAAAAGAACAAAATATTAAATGTCACCTAATATCTTTGAAGTTTAGTAAAATGCAAAAATTCATACAAAACATGCAGACTTTCTTCTAGAACATAGCAATCAAACTTTGAAAGTAAGTGCCCATCCCAAAAAAGTGTATGACAGCTTCTATTCATCAGCTTGAAGTCAAGTGCACGCTTAAGGGATTTAGAGAACATGAGTTAGAAAAGCCAAAACATTCTCCTCCAACATCACCACAAAACCCTGCCTAATGCAGTGGGAGTTCCTAAGTACAGACAAGAATTTCAAAGCCCAGGCATGCACTAGGAGCACCATGTGGTCTGAGACAAGGAAAGAGACAGCCAGTAATGAATTAGAAGTAAGTCTGTTATTAATTTCTCACCACAAATTTTCTACTTTCTAGGGCATTTGGGAAGTACAGAAAACTGAACACAGGGATATTAAAGTCAGGAAACAAAGAAAAAACAGGGATATAACCACAGTGGAAAGTAAAGCAATACAGGCCAGAGGTATCACTGGTTTCTTTCTCACAGAATGCCTTCTTTTTTTTAAAATACAGAATAAAGCTGTTGGGCCTTCCAACTCTCATAATGATCAATTTGCTTCCGAAATTGTTAATCTTAGAAAAACACACACAAAATATTCAGACACATAGGTTTCAGTGGTAAATCAATAGAACTAGTCAACATTCATTGTTCCTGCACCTTAATGCTGCTCCTGTCACCCTGCAGAAGAATCAATATTATCTTGCCCATGAACATCAGTCTTCCAGTCAGCCTTAGATCTGAAACCCATTTTTCCACAGTTTTCACGTATTTTGCCTTTGCTCTCATGTGATCTAAATGCAAAAGGAGCATCCAGATACCATCTTCTGTACTTGTTCCTTTTGACAAAGTAGTTTTTTCATTGTAAACTGTTGCTGATTGCTTAATGACATCTTTAAGATGCTGCTGTATCCAAAGAATCAGATCGTGTACCATGGGTTCAGAAAGATGCTTCTTTGCTTGTTCAAGTAATTTATCTTTCACGTCCATACACTGGGCCCTTGTAAGCTGGTGAGAGGTAACAGAAATATCTGGTGGAGCTGATGGATAATTGACTGGTAAATGAAATAACAGCTTTAAAAGGACATCTGTATCCAGCAGTTCCTTCACACTGATTTGAATTCTAAATGAGATTCCATGCGTCTCTGGAAAATATCAAAAAAATAAACATTAATAGCTTGCTTGAAGTTGGAATACATATATATCATTAAGTCATGTTATTTTCTTTAACAATTCAACTCAAATGACTGCCATTCCACATAAAATAAGGGGGGTTGGGGTTTTGTGTGGGATGGGGGTCTTGCAACTGATGGCTCAAGCTATACCTGCAGGGAATCCTGAAATGAAACACTTCCATATCATAGTAGAAGGAAAGTTATTAACACATTCTAAAAAGCATTCACACCTTTTGGCTCTCTCGAAGTCTAGACAAGCCAGTAATAAAGAATTGTCTCTCTCAAACACATAACTCAGCTTCTACAGCTCGATAGCAGCAGCAAGTACAACCAAAAATAGAGACTTTTCTGGATGGACTCAGCACTGCTATAACTTTGCTCCTAAAGAAATCTGTAAGACTTCTAACATCAATACCAGTGCAAGGCAAACAGACTTGCACTGGGTATTTTTTAATACAACTATTCAAAAAGCAATTCTACACTAAGGAGAGGCTTGGAAACAAAAGAGTCAGATTCTCTGTCCCCTACAACTTGTAGAGAAAATACACTTACTTCTTTTCTGTCAATTTCTCTACAACAGTTGGATTGACATAATGAAAACATCTCTGTTGGACATCTGACCTTAGAGACTATATATATAAGTATATGTATGCTTATATAAATTTATGTTTATATATCTACTCACAGCCTGCTGCAGGTCTACTTTAGAATAGAATTATTTTCAGAGTGGAAAGAATACATACAGTATGCAGCAGGAAGGGCAAAAGACCACATCCTCCTGACAAATCATGTAATCAAAGATGCTTAATATAAAGTTATGTACAGTAATTCCTGTAGTAAAACCTTCTTGACAAGAAAACATTTCACATAAAAACAATACAAAACTCCATGAAGTGAAAAGCAGGGACAAAGACCTAACCTACTTTTGCTCCTCTGCCATGAAGTAAGAGGGTATCAATCAGATAAAAGATGATCTTCTTCAGATATTCTCTGCTTCACCCCTTTGATGCATTCTAAACACTTCACCCCTTTTCTTTAAAAAATTGCTAAAATGTCAGGTTGATTCATTCTATGAGGGCAGGAGAAGCCAGATTTGAAAGGCAGATTAGAGCAGAGTTGAGTTTCAGAGAAGCTCTTTTGAAGTGACTTGTGTTCTTCTCCCCCACCTTATCTTACCTTCTCTTTTACATGACAGTCAGTTGAATTACGTTTGATTAGTATTGCTGATGCCTCTAACCAACCTCAGTGCTCTCTATGATTTTATATTTAAGATCTACTAAATAAGTGAAAGAACCTAAAAGTGACTTGGACAGGCAGAAGCACTTTACAGAGCTTACTCAAGGGCTTGTTTCCAAACCTCCTTCCTGGGTCATACAAAGAACTCTCTAGGTCAGAGCAGTCACAAAATAAAATCAGCAAACCCTTCAAACCCAATAATCAAACTCTAGTAGTACTTTAAAGAAGCTTCCAAACATCTGCAAACCATCACCACCTAAACAGAGCTAAATCCAGTGCAGAAAGCAATGGATGCATGTACAGTGAAATCAAACTACATTCAACCATGCCCATAGCTACAGGCACCATGTATCAAAGCCTTCTTCCCTGCCAACAGGAGCTCATCTTCAGTCTTCTAAGACCCTGTGAAAGGTTCCAGACTATGTTTAAGGCAGATGTATTTCTCAGAGAAACACCAGGCTTGGAAGATACCCTTGCTCACGCTCAGTAGCTACGCAGGAGAACCTGCAGCCTTCCCATTCCAGTCTCTATCTTCTGCTGCCCTGACAAATGTTTCTTCCTGGGCACCAGCAATGACAGCTCCTCTGCCACTACACTAGGCTTGGTACACACAATCACAGACACAGGAAGGAAAGCCTTCACTGCTCCTCCTGGGACTCCTACCACCCTCCTGGCCACCACAGAGGGTCTCTGCACACAGCTGAGCATCACCTGAGACACAGGCAGTGCCTGCTGCCCCACCTCCTTCAGCCACCCCTTATAAACTCAGGGCAGCCCCACCAGGTACACAGCCAGCTGGAAGCAACGTGCATTTGGATGAACACTATGAGCATTATTGTACTCTGGCCTGTGAATACCTTTATTTTAAACTATGTCGCCAAGAGATTTTAAAATGCACAGCCTATACAAGAGGTGAAGAATACTACTCTATTGCCATCTTAATTACAGTGACAGAAAAACATGTTACCTTTCTGATAATCCTCCTAGGAGTTTTTCACTAGCTTGTCATAACAGATCTCACCAACTCAGAAGTAACTGAGGGATAAACACACAGGCCAACCCTGACCCTTTGACAAGGGCCTCCTGCTGCAGTGATCTTATTCCTAAACCTGCAACAATCTCACACCTTTCCCTGTGATGATGAACTAATCCAAAGGAAGCAGCACAGCCTCACATACCAAGGTGTATCCCCCTAAGCCACCGTGAAAAGCCCAGCCGTGCTCATTTACATCTGCTTCAGACTTACTTTTAAAAAGGAGAATCAGTTCAAAACCTTTGTGGGGCTACAGCATCTAAAGTTTATTTAAACATTGCAGCGTCCATTTTCTGCACCAACACTGCAGATTCCGGCAGAACAAAGAGCAAACCACCGGCGCCCTGCGCAACCTGGCTCCAAAGAAATATTTCCTTTGTTTGCACACACTACAAGGGCTGAGTTGTCTTCACAGCAACATGGTGATTATTTCTGAAATAAAAGGTTGGGTATGACTGTTCTGCTGGCATTTAATGTGCTAATCAGACTAAACTCAATACATTTTAACTCATTTCCCCCCATAGCTGCATGCTTATCAGTATATTTAGCTCTAGCATACTTCAGATTTTTTCTTACGTTCCATGTCAACCAGACAGATATCCCCCTCCTCTTCTGCCCAAAGGCATTTTATGCAACACATGCAGTCTATTTTTAAATTCAGAAAATGGCATCTACTAACGTACAAGCTCAGAATATCTAAATATATTTTTATAGCAAGCTTGGTGAGCAAACCAGAAGAGAACAGATTAACAAGTAAATTATGGATTTCTATCTGTAACACTAATCTTTGTAAAGAGATATGTAAGGTAAAAAAGATATGTGGTAATTAGTTTATTTAAATTCATCAACACACTAGTTTTGATAAAAACACATTTTACATTCTGAATACTTCATTGTTAAATTCCAGAAAGCCAAAGTTTTTAGCATACCAAGAGACCTGCAAAAGCAATTTCTTACATTCCTCAAAACCACATAACCCCAATGGGCTCCTTTTTGATCCCGTGGATCTACACACAAATTACTCTTAATGTATTAGAGACAGCATAACATAACAGTCTTACTGGAAGTTATGTCCATGCTCCGTTTGTCAATGATAATTTACATGGTTTGGACAGATAACGTGAGCGTAAGCTAATGACTACAGCCGAAGTTAATTGTATACAGACTAATGGATTCTGTAGCTCCAGCATAAAAGAGAATTCCAAAACTAAGAAAACTACCAATAATCATTAGTTTTAACTAATCTTTTCAATTCCAGTAGAAAACTTATGGAAATCAACCAGATATACCTGACCCTAACAAACCATGAACACAGCCTGGCTAAAGGCCCTGCAAGGTCACCTAACATCAATATAAATATAATAGCCTGTTCCCAGGGTGCACTTGTGGCACCTCACTTTTTGTTCCAGGAAGGTTTCTAAGCCTTTTACATTCTGGTAACTTCTAAACATAAATCATTTTTCCATCTATGAAGCAGAGAGCAGAACACGTATACATTTCTCTAACAGATTTGGAGGAACAGACGTGTATATGCAATGTTCAGATATGTTCTCGTCTTTTAAAATTAACATCTGATAAGCCTGGATACTGTATTTTCAAACTACGCCTGACATAACATTCCTGAAATTTTTCACTTTAAGAAAATAAAGCTCAGTTGGAACATTTCATGGATTGTATTTTAAAAATACAACCCTAAATACCAATCAAAAAAATAAAATGACAGAATTACATTGGCTACACTGATGCAAGAGGTGTGTCATACAGATCTAGACACAGAATTCTGTTCTTAGATTACCCCAGTTAATTGTGCACCCTGCAGACCCTAATGTCTTCATCCCGCTGAGGCTGTCTACACACACAGTCCTCTTCTCAGACAACCTGTGCAAAACTATTTCAACGACTATTTTCGAATAAAAGTTTGAGGGTTATCCAATTCATTTCTTAGTAACTTTTTAGTTAAAGTAGTCACTCAAAAGTAGCCACAAGTAACTCCACACCAAAGCAGCACAAAGGTATTCTCACAGAAGCACAGAATGGTTGAAGTTGGCAGGGACCTCAGAGGGTCACTGTGTCCAACCTCTCCCTTCAAGCAGGGCCACCTACAGCAGGGTGCCCAGGGCAACATCCACATGAGAGAGACTCCACAGCCTCTCTCAGCAACCTGTTTCAGCACTCAGGCACCCTCACAGCAAAAAATGTGTTTCCGTATCAACCCCAGTTCTTTTGGGATAAATACATATGTACACTGTCAAAATCTGACAGCAGGCCACTGCATCCATCTCTGACAGCATTCCCCAGAACTTCACTGCAGCCCAACCAGCAGGAAGCCACTTGCTGTCCATCACTGCACTGGGGAGCTGGGCAGCACTCTGCAATAGCTCCCAGGACCCCAGGGGACAGTCCCAGAGAACGTAGGAATATTCTCTGTGTGTCTGCAACAAATATATGAGAGTTGTCACATCTGTGGTAGGCACTCAGCGAAATTTACTTCTGCTCCGGATCTGAACAGACACACAGCACTTGCATATCCCACCTGACACTTTAAGCCTGATAGTCACTGCTGTTGTACACTGAACTAGTGAGATTTATTCTCCCTTGCTGAAGGGGCATTTTCACAGCACTGTGACAGCACAGATTGATTAAAGTCACCTCGTAACATTACATTCTGAGCAGCACCCACCATGGCTGGTGCAGAGACCAT